TGGGGATTTTTCGACCCGTTCGGATTCGAGCCCGGGTCCCCAAGAGCGGAAGGCTGCTACCTTGACCGTTCGGCCATCCGGCCGCATATGGTGATAGCTAGAGCCAAGTATATCTGCGAAAATTTCTGAACCCATTCAGATTAAAAAAGCACTAGACAGCCGCCCTGAGACCTGAGAAGTTCGAGTATGAGCTCAGAAATTTTCTTTTGCATTGTCTAGCCAGGTCTTATTCTAGGATTTTTTCCTACTGCACAAATATCAGTTTTACTATGGCCAAGCCGATAAATCCTAGCGTTAATAAGCTATTATAAAAGATATATAATAAATGGAAAATAAGGACAATAACACAAATATTTCTGTATAATTATTTATTAATTTCAATCATGAATCTTAATCGTTATAGATGTGTAGTGTGCACTGCGCGCCTACACATGATATCATTTATTATACAATAAGTGCACTGTGGTTGTGGATTATAGTTTAAATGATAATATTGATGTTGCGGCTGCAAAAAAATATCTATTGTATATATTCAATACAAATGATAAATCCTATCAACATTCCTTCTATAGCTCTTTTTTTCGTGGGCCGAATAAAAGAAGGATTTTGTAATTAACACTATTTATTTATACATATTTATACTTTATTTTAGTTTTTATACAAGTAAATTGAAAAGTCTCGAGGGATAGTTAATATCTACTTCAAAATTAACAAATATACATAAAAACAGATTTTTAGAAAAATGTTGAAAAAAATTATTCTAGAGAAACAAAATTTTATCATCAAAATTGTATTGTATTACTATATATATATATATATTTTAATTTCAACATATGTAAAATTTACAAATATAATAAATATGTATACTATTATAAATCTTTAAAAACCATTTATTCTTTAGCATACTTCTCAGTTGAGTGAATTTTCTTTTTAGTAGTTTGCTGTCGCTGTTTAAGATGTCATGAAATTTTTCGCAAGAATTTGTTAAATTATATTTCACACAAAATATGGCTTTCAAAGTCTCAACACTTAATTGTGATTTTTAGATGTCCACACTTTATTTATGGTAGAAAAACGCGTTCAGTCGTGGCATTAGTTCCTGGTAAGGACAGCGTATATTCCAGAATTTTTAATGTATTATTATATGGAACATAATTTGTTTCAAAATGATGAAATATTTCTAACCATTTGTTCTCTGTTGAGATTTTTGCTACCTATGACAAACAATATTTTAACAATTATTTTAATCCTTCTGTATTTCTTTCTAAATAATAATAATATAAACTTACTCGTATATTACTTTTCCTCTGAATTTGTCTTGAGTGTCACTTTATTATTGTAATTTATTTTGTTATATCATACCGTCGTAACCAAAATGAACTCCATTCCCACCTCTAGCAATAGAACGATACAAACCGATGTGCTTACTCTCGCTAACCGCTAGCTTTCTTAGGCGGCAATAGACGAGAGCTCTGCGCCATGTAACATGCAACGAACAATATCTTGGACAGCCTGTGGACATGCACTGTTCCGTTGCTGCAGCTGCGCGCCCCAAACCATTTTCTGTCGGTCTTTGCCACGAATACAGGGGTTTTGTCGGCCCAGCATTCTTTATTTCCGATGCTCATGCACACCTTGGTACTGATAAGTGTGATATAAAATGATCTTTACGAATCTTAAACATAAGACAAGTTTATGACACATAATTGACAAACAAAAACTTAATCTTTCCAAAACTCGGGACTTTTTTAAAACGTCTCGGGACGCGGGAAAAATTGTTAAAAATCGGGACTGTCCTGCCAAAAGTGCGACGTCTGGTCATCTTAACTAAGACTGTCCACAAGTCCGTTATGGATTCGGCCAGGCCCACAATGGAACGGTGTGATGACGAGGGACGGAACCGACATGTCTGGGAAGGACAACTCACAAACCTTCTGTGGTTGCTCGCCAGGATTCAATTCCGGGTTTCCCAGATAATTACATTGACGCCTTAGCTTCTTCGGCCTCCAGCCCTCTGAATTTGGTCTAAAAATGCCGACGGTCTTCAGGACTTCAACTGAGCACGTGGTGGCTCCGTCTTGAAATTCTACGCTGTGTGGCCGTTGCTGGATCCAGTTGAAGCTGAGACTGACTCGTTGATCTTGTGAGTGCGATAAAGCAGATAGGTCGATCCAAGCACCTGTACTTTCAGTAGGCCCTGGGATAATTGGGCTTTAGTATTGGGTGATTTTCCTGATATAATATTCAATGAATAAAAAAATATCTGAAAAACTTGTCTCAAAAATTATGAGTATGGTATAAACTCCATGTTTATGAACTGTCAAATTGACTGATCCTCAGGTTCTTGCTGGGCTACTTCTGGTTTGAGGATAGTGCTGATCCCTGCTCATAGATTTCACCTTCCATTGTGCTGACACTTCCCCTTTTATCTTACCATTACTATTCTATTTATAGTCTTTTCCTATCTTTCTTTGGTTAAGCGTTTTCAACAGTCATCTCTTTTAAAACCTCACGTCAAATTACCATTTTGGCAATTCCAGTGTTAAAGTTATATTTTACTATAGATTAGTTTATCAAAACAAATTATATGTAACAGTATTTCTTATCCAAAATAATTAGAAAGGCCAATATTAAAGCATTATTAATAAATTGAGTTCTTTGAGGACACATTTTGTATCTGAAGAATGCTAAAATTAGTTCTTTTTTTAATTAACTTTATACGAACGACCTAATTCGCAATGGAATTCGTGTAAATAAAGGATGAAGAATCCGAGTAAAATCACCCTTCAAACTCAGTATAATTCTGAACCGGTGGATTCGAACGCGGATCCACAATCATTCAATTGATGGTTTAACGAAAAAAAGATTAAACGAAGGGAAAAAAGACGTATAATTTAAAAATTAGAGGCAAAAACTATAGAGCTATATATAAATCTCTGCTCCTATTATCTTTTAACACACCAGAGACGGAATGAATAAAACCACCGAACAATGGTGACTGGGTAGTTAGTTAGTCGCGGGTTCGCACCCAAGCAACGAGCTAGCCACGTGGAATTTTCCAGATTTTCTTCATAACACACAAATAATTACCAGTTTCTAACACAAAGTCCTCCCGGGAGGCACTTCCCCTTTAGATCGCCCACGTGTTGTATTGATTTATTCCATCAATCCAATCTAATGGCACTTCTGGTTATCTTTTATAATTAAAAAAAATGTCAGTAAATAGAAGTCATTGTCAATAAAAAGTGCACGATCTTATTATTAATTAATAGAATACTTATTTAGACATGTTTGTAAATTATCTCTAATATTCTAATTTGTGTATATTTTCTAATATGTAATCATTATATTGAAATTGTTTAAAATACTATTCGTCTGTTTTATAAGAAATAACTATTTTTACATAAAAATAGTTCAATTAAAATTTATAAATTCTGAATGGCCTTAATTACTTTTAGAAGTTCTTGCGTGAGTGTGTTTTCTACAGAAAGATGTGTTAAGTTTGTTAATTATTACTAATATCGTAATCGCACAGGGTTAGTAATCTTCCCTATTTTTTTAATTCAATTGTATTTTAAATTTTATAAATTATTATTAAGTAGATGCAATTATTTTTTACTGTACATCATTATAATATCATTATTCTACTGATAAAAGTTTTATAAATTAATCTGAAAATTTTATTGATCTTATAAGATAAATTATATACTAAATTTCAAGAATTTATTTAGTTTCAGACAAAAGTATGATCGATTATGAATCGATTGATGAAAAATTATTCGATCTCAATGATCGAGAAATCGAATAATTAAAAGGGATTTATTTAACCACGTGTTGCACATGTAACTGCTCGAAAACGAATCGAATTGCTTGTTTAATTGTATTATTTCAAATAATATATTTTACTTTTGGTTATTATTTTTAAATGAAAAATAAACCAACATTTATCTCCTCCGAAAATCTGTTGTTTAATATTTCAAGCAAATTATTTGTTAATGATATTTATTTAATCACACCATTACTAATACTAGCGCACAAAATATAGTTTGTTGATTCATCAAACTTTGGCAATGAAATATAGAGTTAACAATATATATTGAAAGCATTAATTTTGTTAACTGTTGAATTCATGCTGTTATTTTTATTTCATTTTTACTCATTTTAGAAACAAAGAAAAGGTTTGTTGGTAATGCAAATGTTACAAAATAAGTCATTTGTTTTTTATTAATATATTAATGCTTTATATTTTTTTCTATATATTCAATAACTCAAATCTTAAGAGCTAATCATTAACACATTCATTTTTTTTTATTTTTAATTTATCATTACTTCATATTTTCTCATTTATCATTTATGTCCTAATACTTTCAAATTAAGTTATGCTGATTATTTTAAATAAAAATTTTCCACAATTAATTGGGGTAAACTCTTTAGATCTTATGTAACAAATATAATCTTACGTAAAATGCATAACTTGGATTTTATTTGCTAAAAAATACATAAATTAAACAAATAAACGAACAGAACAATTACAAATTAATTTAGGACACATTTCAATTTAGCATAAATTTACTTTTATTATGAACTTATCATACAGGAACTTTTCAGGTGAATGGTAAAAAAAATAGACTTTTGTTGATTACAGAATATTCATTTTGGGTGTTACATCCCTCATCAGTTCTCATTTTCAAATACTTGATAATATAAATTGCATTATAAAATGGTTTATATTATTTAATTGTTTATATAAAACATATTGCAATTTATAATCACCTGGTAAATTTCAAGATTTTTTTTGTAGCTTTTATACGATATGAAATTAGCCATTCAATATAAAATATAGATCCTGTATGATAAGTTTGTAATAAAATTAAATGACAGTGCTAATTACATTGGGCTTTGGGATGATTATATATGTGTAATAAAAGAAAATTTATGCTAAATCAAAATAGCAAAAATATAGAACAAGAAGCTATAGAAAAAAACAATAATATATGATATAGTTTAATCCCAGTAAAGAAATATTACATGTAAATTCTCTAGGATAAATTACTGGAATTAAGTACAGTACTTAGTTCCAGTAATATCCTAAAATAGTTGAGTAACTAAAAATTTTATTTTTAATGTCTTCAGGAACAATTAAAAAATACATGTGAAAGAAACATAAGGATTGTGTTATCAGTGGAACACTCAAGATCAGGCATGGCCAACATACAACCCATGGACTGGATCCGGCCCATCTAATGAATCTATGTGGCCCGTGATTAATCTTTCAATATTAGCCAATTAAGTTTGAAAATCTTGACGAAAAATTCTGACACCTAAAAAAAAGAAAAAAAAAAAAGGTCAACAACTAACTGGGCGTTTAGAGTTAACGCTCCATTACAAATGTCTTCAGCACAGCGTAGAATGTTGATAATACATGATAATGTGAAAAATGTATCTGTAATCTCTATGTACCTGTACAATTTAGTCTTTACGGGGTGATAGCACAATGAGATCTCGCACCACCTCAAAATCTTGCTAGGGCAGCCTCTGGTTTAGCTCGTGAAAAAACTTTTCTTTCCAATTCAGCCTGGGGGCAAAAACTGTTGGCCACCCCTGAGATAGCCAATGCTAATAACATTTGTTCAATGAACAGTTTTTCTCAATGAAACATTAGGTGGTGTAGAAAGATTATTTTTTGATATTTCAAACAAATTCAATTATTGCTTTGTTCTTTGTTGGTACTACTAACAAAATTTCTAATACAAGAACATGATCTTTTATTCAAAATTCTGAAAATCAAAGTTTCAGAGGTGTGAGATATTTTCTGTTTTTGGATTTTGAAGACTGAAAGGATGGTGGAAAGTCATAAGAAGCAGAAAAGAATGCATGACATTATTAATAGTGGAGAAGATAGTTATTACAAAAATTTAATCAAAAGATGTCATTACCAAATAAAAAACATCCAAATTCTGAAATGTCTTACTAGACAAATGAGTAGAATATTAATTGCAATGGCAGGCCTAATGTCATTTTCAAGAATTAGTGTTTTACATTAATTCTCCATAAAAAGAGGAATATATCAGTGTGAATTAATGCATATATATGCTTTTCTCTGAAATATCTATTTTAAAAACAGTCAGGTGTTTCTGATGCATGTTGTTGTGCATATGGAATGATAATTGTACATATACAGAATGTAGTGCATGTAGATGATAGAAATACAACATATACTGAAAAGAAAAATGAATGCTAATTAACTGAATTAATAAATGAAATATTAATAATAAAAGTTCCACTATGTACTAAACTAATAAACCAGCAAAACAACAACTCACTTTGGAAAGTGAAGGACATCTTCCTGAAGATATCTTTTAAAAATGGACAAAAATGATCCATGATGGAAACTTTCCAAAGTGAGTTATTCTTTTGCTGGTTTATTGGTTTAGTGATATAATAAAAGTTCCACTATTAATATTAACCAGTAATTGGTTGTTGTTTTCTAAGAAATATTTGCTCTACTTCTGTAAAACAATAAGCAATTATTTATTGTGACATTGTCACAATGCCAGGCTGCAATTTTTAATCATATTCTTAATTTATTTAATTTAAAATATATGCTCTCCATCTCAAATTAGTAGTGTCTTGCCCCTGTACATCATACTTTTCCTGATAACAACAGTACCATGCCAGCCATCTATGTAACTCCATTTAGGGGAAAGTTTTCGAATTGAAATATATGACTTATGGTCTAGACCATTAATATACAGTTAATTGGGAGCTCCTGCCTCTAAGCTTTCCATATCTGGTATTGACTTTCATTTATCTAACACCATTCTTGAAATTAAGGATGGATGGACAATAGTAGGAATTTATAGGGCTGCAATTTGAAAAAATCATAGATTTTTTCAAATTGCAGCCCAATTATTGATTATTAAAACTATGCATATTTTGTCGCATCACATCTAGCATTGCTTAAAATGTAAACATATTATTAAAAGAATTCTTGTTTATTAATTTTTAATTTTTCTTTAGGGTTAATGAAACAAATTCATTAATCTGAAAGTTTGTTTAACCTGAATTGTTTATATACTTGAAAGTTTTGGGAAATTCAAAAATGCTTAAATGTTTTGATTAATAAATGAAATAAACATAAGAATTAAAAACAACACAAAAATCACTACATACAGTATTGGACCAAACATCTAGCAAGCTTTGGATTGGTCTGGATTTTCTGGTTTTCTAGACACTGGCTAAATTTATATTTAATATAAAATAAATAATAGAAAGTAAAGAAAAAATTGTATTTAATACACTGTACGCAAGTACTGGAACTGGCATTGTGAGACATATTTGCCATGGAAACCAAACCAAAACAGTGGCCATGTGGCAAACTATAGCCTGCCAAATTCAAAACTACCCAGTTGATTTTCTGGTAATTCTGGCTTTTTGGAAATTGGATATTTGGTCCAGTACTGTGTGTATGCATGTTTTTTATAATTATAATCTATAAAAATCTTGAATTTATTTCATATTTTGTTTATTAAATATATTTATTCATATTTTTGGGTTTAATATTTCAGTTTAAAAATGATGAAGTCTGTTTTACATTCATGGAGAAAATTTTCTATCTACAGAAATAATTATCAATTTGTAATGAAATGGATATATAGAAAAAAATCATGCTGGAATTATAACAACAGTAAGTTTTTAATTTAAAAGGATAAACTTCAAATAACTACACATTACCAGCCTTTAAGATGCAATCTATTTTATTAACATAATCTAATGTTTTTGGTCAATTAATTGACCTTCATCAGAATCGAACAATTTTTCGATTTATGACGAACAAAACTGATTATAGAATGTTTTCAACTTTAAAAGTTTTCTCAATGCCTATTGCACAAGTCTGAAAATAGATAAATAGAATCTACAGACTGAAAATGCACAAATATATGCATACACTAACTATACACATAAAAAATAAAAGTAAAAATAAAAATTAATAATAACAAAGAAATAGATAAATGAATAGATAAATAAACAAGTGATTAAATAAAGGTTTAACATACTTGGTCCAATAATCCAGTAATTAACATTAAAAAACATGAGAAGTATCACAAAGTAAACTCAGGTTAGGGGTATTAAATTTTGATACTAATAATAAATTTCAATTTATATATAATTATTTAATTATAAATTTCTCAATCATTTTGTTCAAATTAATTTTTATTTATTAATTTTTTTTTCTGAAAATCTTGTTTTTGATTTTTGAAACTTAAATGTTTAATAATATTGCAATAAATTAAATATAATAAAATAATACTCTTAAGAATTCTTAAATATTTTAAAATATACAAATAAAATAGGTGTTTTTATTTAAATTAATATAATGTAAAAACAATATTTTTACATTTAAATTATTGAAATTGTAAATAAGTAAAATTCATTTTCATTATTTTTTAAATATTATCAACAAAGAAATATTTCATGTTTCTGATGAAGTTAAGGAAAGCCTAATTAAAAATCATCCAGTTATAGCTTTGGAGAGTACAATTATTACACATGGAATGCCTTTTCCAGAAAATATAAGGTAAATTTGATACATATATATATAAAATTTTAAAATATAGAAAAATATATATAATAATTGTACATATACAGAATGTAGTGCATGTAGATGATAGAAATACAACATATACTGAAAAGAAAAATGAATGCTAATTAACTGAATTAATAAATGAAATATTAATAATAAAAGTTCCACTATGTACTAAACCAATAAACCAGCAAAACAACAACTCACTTTGGAAAGTGAAGGACATCTTCCTGAAGATATCTTTTAAAAATGGACAAAAATGATCCATGATGGAAACTTTCCAAAGTGAGTTATTCT